ATTGAAGCTAGAACTTGTGAAGTATATATCGAAAGGCTTGGTAGTAATGTTGTTTGTTAGTGGATTATTTTGGGAGGCTCAATATGATTATTATTGATATTGTTTTGGCTGTTTGGTGATTATTTTTACTTGTAGTAAGTTATATAAATAGGGAGGTGTTGTCCGTTTTAACGTAAAATAGGTTGTTGCCGATATATAATAGTTACGACACTTAAACAATAACGATAGTATCATTTCTCTTATTGTAGACTAAGGAGTCATGACATTTGCATAGCTTGAGGTTGGGCAGTATATATAAGGTATGTGAGGCTATCCCTTTTCTTCTTTTGCACGACTCCGATTGTACATAATGTAATGAACGAGCTTCCAAAGATACCCCACTCTTAGAAGCTAGGAATACTTGCATTTGTTTCCCTTCTTATGGAACGATTGATGTTGATGTTGCTTATCTTATTCTTATGTTATCAATGTTGTTGGTACTTCCTGATTCTTATAAGATTTATGATGAAGAGTTAGTCCTAATAATGTGTATGGAGGATACCAACCTTACGTCACTTCAAAGTTCAGTATGTGATTCTATTGAGTCCAGCATGCATTATATATATGTACCTATTTTACTCTATCGAGCCGCGCTATAGTCGGCCAAGTACAACACCTATTTTGCAACCACTAATCAGTTGGATTTTACCGAGCTCCACGTGGTCGGGTACGATTCTACCGAGCCTTATGATGGCCGGTTATATTTTTACCGAGCCTATTACGGCCGAGTACGATATGATGATGATGATGCTCATAGAGGCTTATGTTTTAAAAGTTTATGCATATATATGTATCATGAATTTCATGTCAGTAGCCCACAGAGGTACCCAGGTTTTATAGGTTGTATATTCACTATCCCTGTTTACATTATTGTTCGTACTTATGCTTCCCTATCTTACATACTCAGTACTTTATTCGTACTGACATCCTTTTTATTTGCGGATGCTTCGTGTCGTGTTGCAGGTCCTGATAGATGAGTAGACGCAAATCCCCCACCACAGTAGGCTGCCCAGTTTAGCGGTTATTGGCGAAATCCCTTCCCCGGACTTGTCGTGGTCTTGGTATATTTTTTTGTTATAGACATTATGAGTATGTAGGGACCCTGTTCCAGCGATATTGCAGCCCTTATGTTCCTTTAGAGGCTCATAGATAGGTGTCGACTCATGTATAGTTTGGTATGCCTTGTCGACTGATTTTTTGTTGTATAATCTTTCATGGTAGCGTGGTAGCTCGTACCTTCTATATAGTTTCTTGACAGTCTTGCCATCCCATGTTATGTATGTTCACGCCAATTATCTTTCATTGTTGGTTGTTCATGATCCATGTCTACCATTTATATTGATCTCGTCGGCCCGTAAAGATAATAAGGAAGGTTAGATAAAATGTACATTGGTGCTCGACAAGTATGGCCCGAGTGCTAGTCATGACCCTCCAGTTTGGGTCGTGACACATATTTCTTATACACGTAATAGATTATAATAAAGCATATGATTTTATTTCATTTATGAGAATTTACACTTACATATATATGACAAGCGTTGATGTTTTATTCTCAACTATTCATTACTTCGCTTGAATGCTTGATCGGTGAATAAATAAGAAAATAAATCTTGAAGTTTAAGTGAACATTGTAACCATTTTATTTATCATGTACTTGCATTATTAATCTTAAGTTTAAGTGACTAGATGCTCCAGTATAATTAGTGACTAGATTCTCCAAGATGTGCACAATCGAGCGAGTCTTGAATATTTTATTCTTGATCACCTTATTAGTACTTTGCTCGGATACTTGATCAATGGATCAATTGAAAATTTAATTATATTCGATTAACCTAGGATATGTTTTTATCACTTTACTCAACATAGAACATGCATCATTCTTTATTGTAACTGGCAAGACGCTCTGACATACTGACGGTCATACAATTTAGGATGTCAAATATATGTAGATTGTAAATAATAATAATCTATAAGTGGTTGATTATTTTTGACCATTAAAACCGATCGAAATCGGTTGGTAACTTCATAATTATTTTTAAAAATTATTTTTTTTATGAAAAAAATTGGCACTGGGCGGAAAAAAATAAATTAAGATTTTCGACCGATATCGGTCAATATTCTTGAAAACTTTTTAATTAAACTTTTTTTGGTAGATAATATGCAAGTTGACCAGGTTTTGGTCAAAGATTGACCATTTTGTCGGTCGGAATTTTCAAATGTGTCAGATAAAGCAGTGTTTCGTTTTGTGGGGCCACATTTTTCCGACCGATGGTGATCGGTATATTATTTAAACTTTATTATTTGACTTTTGCGATCAATTTACATATTTTTCGACCTATTTCGACGATTTTTGGAAATTTTCGTTTGCCCCGGTGTATAACTGATAATTCGGGACATGTTCAAAAGTTTTACATGTAAATATCTAAGATAAATATCAATTAATAATCTGATAATATTATAATTAATAATTTAAATTCAATAAAATATAAAAAAAATCGTTGTCACTCTATCAATATAGTAACTTAAATCCTTAATTTTTTTGCGGTACTGGTGGTACGTACAAATAAATCTTTCGGCAAAGTCAAACCTAAAGCATGATACTGTAAAATTTTAGAATAATAAATTTGGGGAACAAAAATTCAAAGCAATCATCATTGATGTTCATAAAGTTTTAATTTATATTTTCAGTACAATATATCATCTCGATTGAGGACAACAGGTTAATCTATATTTATATATAATGTAAAGCTAGACATAGATAAGGTGATGTAACACCTCTCTATGGTCTCCATTCATATTTATCTTTTATCTCCTATTTTTGGACTCTTTCTCTCTTACTTATTTATTAATTTATTAATTTATTAATAAAATAAATAATAACAAAAGTGAAAATAAGAAAAAGAGATGAGGTTTCAGGTTACGAGGAGATTTCAGTTATGGATATAAAGAGAGTGCTATTATTAATTTATAACGTATCAATTGTGAATAACATTATTGTGAGCTTCTAACGTTTCTTCCACATCTTTCACAATTAAATTATCTTAAACATCAACAAATTTATTGTGTATTATGTATGATGATAGTGGGAAACTGAAAACACTGTATATTGTATGTATAAATTTCTATGAATTTGCTTCATATCCTTGCCATGGATATTAACGAGAAAATTAGCTAAAAGATCGGTCTTCCAACAATTGAGAAGGATAGGGCTAACTCACAAAATTGAATTTATAGAAGCCCACGCACTTCCCTTTCATGACTAAATGATCGGAGAGTACGTATCTATTTTTTATTGAAGAAGATATCAAATGAATAAGTTGAATCTACCGGTTAGTGTTTATTTTTTGTGAGTTATTTTTATTTATAGGGTAAGACTACACAACAAAGGATTTGAATGGGGGTAGCTAAGCATATATAGAATCATTTTTTTTCCTATATGAGTCTATGGTATTTCTTTTATGAACTATCTTAAGGCTTTTAAATTAATTCGTTTCATATATATATGACTTTTGGGACGTAGTACACAATTCACAATATATATATATTTGTTTACCAACATTTGTGTTTCAAAAACGGCGGTTACTATTCCACCTTTCATAAATTTAATGCTTAACAACAATTGTGTTAAAAAACGGTCGTTACTTAACTTCGACAATTTCAAATTCAGTATTTATGAGGAACAACAATGAATGCTAAAGATTCACATTCTATACTTATAGGGTCCTTCAACGTTTTTCAACATCAATATTGTTAATTTAATGAATAGTATCCTCGAAAAGAGAGTCAAAACCTTTTATAATGTCCAGTAAGTTTTTTTTAATTAACTTTTTAAGTTATGCCATACATCTTCATACTAAAAAAGAAAAAAAGAAAAGGCGGAGAAAAGAATATTATTGATTGTAAATTTGTAATAATACTGTTATTTTCTTTGCAGGTGGGACGAACTGGTTGATCGATTCTTATTATTATTATTTTTCTCTACTACAAGTTTGACCTCCCTTTGTTTTTAATTTCATGTTGTATATGACTATTTTATGAAGCCAATAATATATGTTGTTTTTTTAAGAACTAAGTTATATTGTATTTAATCTCCCAAGCCAATATTTCTTGAGAACTTTTTCAAGAAATGAGCAAATTTGATTAGATTTTATGAGATTTTTTCATACTTTTAATGATTTAGAGGATGGAAAGGAGCAGCTTTAGAGTGGAGGAGTAGCTGGTTATAAAGGTGTTGAAACGTGAGAATAGAAGAAAGAAATAGTTAATAAATATTTTTTTGTTATTCACCAAAATAGTGTAAAATGAATGGGCAGGCAAGGAAGAAAAAAAAAATTAAAGAAAAATAAAAAAGTTAAAAGCAACTAAAAAATAAAATTAAAAAATATAGAAAAGATTCATGCAATTTATTTGCGTTGACTTAGGGCTGACGGATTTCTTTTCCTTATTTTGTTGAAGGAGTAGACGTTGTTAATATGTTTTTTTTAAGATTCTAAATAAAGAGAAAGTATAGAATATAACTTTTGAAAGGTGAAGAGTAGAAGATACTTAATATATTAATTGAATAAAGAAACAACTATGTTTCTTAAAATTCATCTCTTTCTTTCATGTTTATTTAGCAAAAATAGAAAATATTGTTTCACATATATAGATTATTAGACAAACCTTTTCTGATAGATAAAAAAATCCTCAAATAATAAAAATTAAAAGAAAAAAGTAAGAATAAAATGTTTATAACTTAAAATCTAATCTATTTTTGAATTTGAAGATTACAAAAGATTTATATATTTTTCATTATTTGAACATTAGAAAAGAATATTCATCGCGCGGATTAATTTACTAGTTATAGAGTATAGTTGAAAACTATATGAAAATATAAGTAGTTACAAAATAGTATTTTAAAATAGTAATAAAAATGATTTAACTTCCAATATTATATTTGTGTGAGAGTACAAGTCCTTCGGTTCCCCTGATCATCTAAATCCCCCGCACACAATGTCTTTGCTCTCACTTCCTCTCCCACTCCCAATTCCCCACAGCTCAAAACCCCATTACACCACTCTTCGTCTACACAATTCTCGAACTTTCCACTTCCACAAAAACCTTAGGCTCTCCGTTCGGGCCTCCGGCGTCCCCGTTCAACGGAACTCGGCGACATTGCCGGCGTCCGGCGAATTTCTCCGTCAAATTGCTGCTTCTACCGTTCTTTTTATCAGTTTGGGTTCGGCCCTTTTGTCCTTTCCAGCTGTTGCTACTACTCACGTTCCTCCTCAAGTCCCTTCTCTAACTCAGCTTCAGGACCAAGAATCTCAAGGTATTTTTTTTGTGTGTGAAAATTCTATTTAAGGATAATGGTTGAGCAAGTTGGATCAAATTAACTAGGGTACACTTTTGTTTAGTCTATTATTGCTGCATTAGTAGTATAATTTACCAACACCTGATGTTTAGGCTAGACTAAGCATTAATACCTTAGCGGGTAAAAACTGAAGTGCGAGTAAGTTTTTACCATTCCTCCCGCCCGATATATATATGACAATGTTTACCTCTTGCACGCCTCCTGTTTGACATTCCTATAGATCTTTCATAATTTTCAGGAGTTCGAATTCAAATTTGTTAAACTATTCAAGTTTGAAACTTTGACATGATATTTCTCTATCGAACTAATTTTTCACTACTGCTATACGTATATAAGTAAGATATATGCGAAATTAACATCTTAAATCATGTATGTATTCGAATGTCATGTTGTATAGTATGGAAAGGAAGGAGCACAACACCGGATTGAGAGTTGTTTTCCAGAATGTAGGTACACTAAGCTGTGAAAATGCAAGTGCCTTGTGGAAGGTGAGAGAGGAGAGAGATACAAATGGGAAGAGAGGAAGAGGGATAGACTCTGCAAAAATCAACTTAGCTATGTTATTTGGGTTAAATATGGCTAGTCAGGGGCAGATGTAGAGTTTAACCCCCGGGTTCATCTGAACCCACTACTTTCGACGCAAAGCATAAATTTATGTGAAATTTTTTATTAAAATTGCAACAAATGGTAGGTATGAACCCATAACTTTATAAATACAATGGGTTCAATGCTAAAAACCTTAAAAGTTGAACCCGTAAAATTGAAATCCTGGATCCGCCTCTGTGGCTAGTAAGATAGAGAAAGGTTAAGCTTTACTCATTAGGTGATTCTAGGCAACCTTATCTAGTCATTTGGTGTGAAACAGATAACTGATTATTTTTGTTCTTGTTGATTACTTTTAATACTGCTCTTCTTAGTGCTCTTTCAAGTTCCACTCATTATTTGCCTAATTCCTTTTGATATTATTGACAGTAATGAATGTTGCATGAAGATCTCGTCTAGAGTTTCTTCTTCTCTCTCTCCCTCTTTATTTTTTACTGCTTGTTTTACTTGGTGCCATGGACTTTGAATTACATAGGCACTGAAGTTGGAAAATCGGAAAATATGGAAGATATTGATGATGAAGAGCTTCAAGCGGCATTTGAGAAATGGAAGTCTAAGACGTATGCTTTGACTGTCCCTCTAAGAATTGTTTCTCTTAGTAACTCTTTTCCTCCTGTATGGCTCAAGGTCTGTTAACTCTGCTCCATATCTCACTTTTTTACTTTCAAGATTTGATCAGTTCAGACTTTGTATGGTGTAAAGGTTGTCTTAATAAGTTGCAAGTAGATACTTCTGTATGTAGGATCAAAGAGAGATTATGATGTTATGTTGGTCTTCTCTTGCTATACTACTAACCCCTGTTTTGGCCAATGAATTCCTATGTTGGAGATTCCATTATTTTGTGTGCCACCATTGTCGATTGTAGCATCTTAGCCGCAAATTTGTTGTACTTTTTATGCTTCCCCTTGACTTTAATAACAAAACAAATTTAGAGTGCATATAATCAAGTAGAAGAGTTATTCCTGTGGAGAAAAAAGTGAGAATTTAGTGGCTCCAAGGTTGCAAGTTACCCACGAGAAATATTGTACTACTTGGTTTAATTGTAAAGTCAGGAAAGATAAGAGAAGAGTAGTAAATGGGGGTAGAAGACTAGAATTTGAGTTAGTTTGCAGACCACCAAATTAAAAGGAATGGAAGAAAAACAAGAAAAGAAGGTTGGAAATATTTTCTATTTGTTTCCAAAATTCCGATATCAAAATTATTTGTTTTCATATTGATGTTCACATAAAATTTTTGAGTTTACTGATCTCCCGACTCTAGTTTAGATAATAAGAGAATATTAGCAAAAAAGACATTCATTGATTGCTCTATGTAATGTCAAATGGTAAATTAAAATGAATCTTTTCTATTAAAGCTATTGGAAAAAGATAAACACAAGAAAAGTTACTGTAGCATTACTTTCCTCACTGATACATCAACCCAAAAATAGTATGTTTTTTGAAGAGAAAACATACAGTTTTTTCAACCCAAAAATACTATTAATGTTTAATTATGTAGGTTCTCCAATACTGTGAGAAGCATTTATCATTTGCACCCTAGTGGTTGTATGCTTCTTTCTATTTTCTTTCCTTTGATATCGCTTCTGCTTAGCTTCTAAAACGGAGTCCAAGCTGATGTGCTTTTGAGGTCGTTTTACAATATAGGTGCTGTAGTTTGCAAATGATCCTGAGTTCTTTCCAAGAACTTTAGGATATTGCTAGATATCAGCTTCCATTCAAGGCTTTTCCATATGTTTCCTTCTAAAACACTTATTTTATATACAGCACTTCACTGTTACTCCTATCAGAAAAGGAGATCAAGTTCACTGGGCTTTTGTCATCTAATATGCATTAATAAGACGCTTCAGTTGTCATTCAAATGATGACAACTCTTTGCACATTCTCGAGAATAATGGCTCTTTGCTCATTGATGTGTAGGATTTCTTGCGATCTCAAGGGAAGAGATTGAGATTACGTTCTGAGTTTCGTCAAAGCCTGCAAGACATCTTTCATGAACTTTGTATGCCTAGTCGGAAAGGAAAAGTTAATCCTAAATCTGCTTTGGCAGCTGATGTTGTCACTGTTGGTGATACCTGGCTCAGTTATGCCATTGAGAAGAGGTTAATCGAGCCGATGCATGGTTTAGAAGATCAAGATTGGTTTGAAAAGTTAAGTGACAAATGGAAGGTAAAAACCATCTTCTTTTTTTGATGAGGAGTGACATTCGCATTTTGATGTCTTTCGGCCTGTCAGTAGCATCCCTGGTGTTTTTTGCCTTTACTTTTCTTTTTCTTTTTACTTTTGTCATCTTCTAAAGAGATGGTTTCCTTCTGAAAATTTCCAGATTGCCTTGTTACAATGAAAATTAACTGTTACCTCAGAAAACTGAACAAGGCTGTGATATCTTTTACATTAAATCATAGCCATGATGTTTTTTATGGTGCCTTGTCTCTCAAAATCAACTGTTACATGAGAATCTGTTCGCTTCAGTGCTAGGAAATACACATATCTATGGCCTCCTATTTTCTTGCCAGGCTGTTGGAAGCAATATTAGGATTTACATAACTTTTTTTTTATAAGGTAAATTGTATTCATCAAAAGGGAGAGAACTCCCGTATACAAGAAGTATATTAGGATTTACATAACTTGAGCTACTACTTACAATTGAACCTGAAATCCATATTTCATCATTCTGTTTAGGTTTGCAAAACATAGAAAGAGAGTACCAAGAAATAACATACCTATCATTCTTGGATGGTTTGGAACCTTACTCGACATGGGGTCATGACATACCATTTTCTTGATAGCATTAGGGAAAAAGAGCTCTTGCATCATTTAGCCGCTTGTTGACCATCACCTGACCTCACATGGGAGACACTTCGTTTTGAGGACTGAACCACTTATTTGTTTTACCCAATATTCCATGTCTGATGGTATATTATATAAAACTAAATTGTCTTTTTGTGGAAAAAGAAAAAGAGCATGTCTCTCATCTATACTTCTGTATTGCAAACATCATCTTGTTTTCTTTGGCATCTATATTGTACTCGGATCCCTTTGATAGTTCCCTTTGACTTTAAAATAATGTCAGGTATATTTGCGCAGGAGCGATGAAGGGAAATTGGATTCTCGTGGTAGGATATGGGCAGCTCCATATAGATGGGGAAGCATAGTGATAGCTTACAAGAAAAGCGAATTTCAAAAGCGTAAAATGGCTCCTATAGAGGTAACTTGTGTCTATATTTGGAGTATCACTTTTTAAAATGGAACCATGATGGGTGATGCTTTAATTTTATGCTCATTGCTTGCGATTGTAAATTTGTCATATTGTCTTTCTAGCTGTTAGTGTGTGTCTTACTCCCAGTTGGATAGAATCGATAGATTCTTGAAGTTTGAACCCAGTTAGAGAAGAAAGAAGCAAGAGGATCGAGCATCCATAAGGGGAAGTTCTTGAATGTTTTTGTTCTTGACCTTTATTCCATTTTCTTCCACATCTCTTTGAAGCCCCCTAATTGCTGAATGTTATTCCAATGAAAATATGATTTAATTGCATAATATTACTTTTTACCTATCAGCTATATTATATGGATTCTTCATTTGTTTTGGACATGCTCGTGCTGAACGAGTCTTAAAGTTCACAGAACCCAGTGTCCGTGTTGTCAAATGCCTTCTTCAAAGTTGCATTCTACGTGACAGCTCGCTTATTCAGGGTTGTAAACCACCACTGTAGGACTGGGCTGATCTATGGCGACCTGAACTTGCTGGAAAAATTTCAATGGTTGATTCACCACGAGAGATCGTGGGTGCAGTCTTAAAGTATATGGGGGCATCATACAACACAACCGACATGTCTGAAGTCGTTGGTGGAAGAGAGGCTGTGCAGCAGAATCTTGCATCACTTGTTAAACAGGTAATTTAAAGGAAATTGTAAAAATTGCCTAGCTTTGAGCTCCTTAAAGGTGGATTATGGGACATCTTTTCTGTTCTTTGGATTGAACAATTTCAATGCTGTGTTAGTTGTCCTGTCTGGAGTGTGATTCAGATGAATCTTCCACCAATTAATGAGCTTAGGTGTTACTTTACTAAAAATTAGTAAAAAAAAAAAAGGAAGAAGAAGAAGAAGAAGAGTAAAAATCTACAACATTGTCCGGAAGAGGAGCTGAATCTGTAAGGATACAACATTCAAAGGAAATAAGAGGCAGGGATTCATATTATTATTGTCAGCAAAAGCTGGTGCCACCTGAATTTCCTAGCTGACATAGCACTACTGGAAAATATTTCCAACTTATTAGTGCGGTGTCTATACATGTTTACACGAACCTGTTGATTTTTTCTAGATTCTTCTTTGTATAAGTTTAAAAAGGACTGGTATGAGCCATGTATGCAAAGGTTATTCACCTAATCCATAACTGATCTTTGAGCACTTAAGTTGTAATTTATGGTTTTAAGGTAGTGGCCAGTGGGTATAAAATGGTTTTAAATTGAGCTTATATTATGCACAGGTATAGGGAAAAAATGTGGAGTTATTAATGCAAGATATACAGCCATGCATACAGTGGTTTAGTTATTCATGCAAAACTTAACCAAGTTCTGTTCTTGTCAACTTGTGAAGATTTCTTTGGTAATTCAAAAGTAATTTCACTGATATTGCACCAAGTTGCTGCAAAAAATTAATAGTAAGTATTTTCATGTTGAGCTTCCAAGAGATCTATCCAACTATCTAGTACATTCATTTTTCCTGCCAAGTACCATATGTGCAGTTAGTAACTTCTCCAGATTTTTTAGGGTCATGGTTGTTTCCTTCTCTTATTGTTTTCGTATTGTCATGTGCTTACAAATTGCGACTTCCCTTCCCAATATTTAAGATCGCACTTGGATTGATAGATTTCAAATGCTTATATGCGTGTGGAGATGTGCAAAATCATAGTTATGATGGTTAAATGAGTACTTGATTATAGAAAAGAGTTGATTGATTGAGTCCTTTATCTTCTAACACAAACATATGTTACGATTTCAAATGATATGTATATTGACTTGATTCAGAATCCTTTAAAGGTGGATTCATGTATGCTAGCATTTTCTATGTGAGACCTCTATGTACATGCAAAGTAACATTTGTGCGCCAAATGCATGGAGATTAAATAAATAAAAAAAAATTGTTCAGTATTTGGATATCTAAATATTTGTATCTCTCAAAAGGTCCGGCTATTTGATAGCGGCCACTATCTTAAAGCCTTCGGAGTTGGAGATGTATGGGTAGCTGTTGGATGGAGCAATGATGTTATTCCTGCTGCAAAGCGGATGTCAAATATTGCTGTAGTTGTTCCCAAATCTGGTGCAAGTCTGTGGGCTGATTGCTGGGTATGTCCAGAATTTTCTCCCTCTATGTGCATCCTAAAATGCTTCCGGCTCATCTTTATTTATTGTTGTTTTTTATTTGTTTTCTTTTGATCAATAATTCCCGAAAGGTGCAACAGATCTAAAAGTTCCATTTTGACAGCTTCTCTTTATTTCTTTCCCTTGGTTTAGTCTTTATCGTACGTGTTTGGAGTACACGTGTCCAGACAAGAATACAATATCTTCTCTCTTGAATTTCAATGAATTATTGATAAAGTTTTATGAGTTTGAAATTTTAAAGTAAGTCCCATCAAACACTTTCACATTAGTTTACCAAGTGTAAGAAAAAGTCTCCTTTTTGATAAAGTAGACAAAATCTAGACTTAAAAAAAAACGACACTTCAGTCAATATGACAAACCTTTGCATTCTTTTTTCACTGAATAGATTTCCGGACTTAACTATTAAATCTCTCAAACATGCTTGGAACAAAAACAATGTAATTAATATGTGTTAGAAAATGCAGCTGGTAAAAAGATTTATTAGAGATGGGATCATTTCTTCTACTGCATATAACTTTGCAAAAAACGTCTTTATCAGGCAATACCTGCTTCTTCGAGAATTGCAACTGATCAAATTGGAGGAAGAGTTAGAGGACCATCACCAGTAGTGCATCAGTGGATAGAATTTTGCCTGCAAGATGAAAGGTTCAAAGACGACGTTGTTCCAGGTGCTTCACCTAACGCCCTTGAATCACCTGTTAAAGTCTCCGAAAAGCTTACTAGGGGTAGACCAAAACTTGAGACAAACCTTATTGCTGGAGTCCCTCCATCTGATATCTTGGCTAAATGTGAACTTTTAGAGCCATTGCCAGAAAATGCACTGTCCGATTATCAATGGCTCATAAATAGTGTACAAAAACCGAAGCTTTCTCTAGTGGAAAGCCTAAAGAGTCATATCTTGTCATTAGCTCATAGCTTTCTTCCTAAAGGGCAGTCAAAGTTTGCCTGAAAGAACTCCATCTTTTGTAAACTAACATTTTGTTGTTGTGTACACAATTTAGTTAAACATGTGTAATGATGCATGCTGTACCTTTACGCATGCAGTTTTTCCCATCATTTGTGCGACTTGCAATTACGTAATTTTTTTTTTTTTTAAATTCGGTGACAAGGTGAACGCCTTTTCTTTGATGTCACGACAGAACTGAGGGAGTGCTGAACTATTTACATCATCTGCCAGAGCCCAAAAGAAGCAATAAAGAGAACAAAGATTAGACTAGGCTGACCCTTTTACAAGGGGAGATTTTTTCTTATAAAATGTCAGTTTCAAAAACCTCAAGAATGGTCTCAGCTACCCCTGTGTATTCCATTTTACACCAAGAAGCAAATAAAAGTAGACAATTAAATTTGATCTTCCAGTTTGGGTTTGTTAATCCTTCGAAGAATCTTTGGTTCCTTTGTCTCCAAATCCACTCCACCAGTAAACTCTGGTTGTGAGTTCTCAGGTTTCTTATACCGAGTCCATCGGCTTTCTTGGTTAGGGTATTAGACTTCCAGTTACTAGGTGGATGATGTTTGACCCAAAATTTAGATCTGTGTTTAAACAATTAGATTTTGATAAAATAGAGTCAATTTTAGCCAATATTAATGTCCAAAAGATATTTTAATCGATTTTATAGTAAGAATATGCGTATATTATCTAGATATCAATAAATAACACTAGCAATATTCAATGACCCCAAAAGCAAAGAGAGCATTAAATAACAGTATGGCAATGAATGTCATTTAAGTAAATAAGAACATGTGAATCACCCGAAAATGTGAGATCCGTGGATATTTTTTCTTACAATGATGAATGATTGATAAGCCTTTGAATATTCGGATCGTTCTTGGATCGAGGGGAAAAGTAAGACAAGAATCTCAAGGAAAAGTATATTTTATATGTGTGCAATAAAGCAAGATTCTACAAAGAATGTCATGTGTTCTCTTACAAGTGAATATTTCATGTTCCCTATAATTATGTTTTTTTTCTATTTATAAGGGAACGTGTACTGGAATATTCTCTTTAGTGTCTTATCCTAAAATTAGCTGTTATTACTCCGTTTAAGATGAGTGCTCGTCCTCGACTTTGATCTACGGTGACTCCTCGACCTCGTCCTTCATCTCTTGTGAGGCCACTTCGACCTTGGGCAGGCCTTTCTCGAAGTCATACTGGTGACACGCGGTAGCCCTTGAAGGCCCTCTTAATGCCGATATGGTCTAATCATATCAAAGAGAAATGGCACTAGGCTTGACTCATCGACCTCGCCGTAGAAAGTTTCTTCTGAGTGAGTCCAGTTTCTTCACTAATTTATAAATTTAGCTTCAGAAAAGAGAAAAGGAAAAAAAAAAACTTTTTAATAAACACATTGATTGGTTGCCGAGTCCATATTAGAAATTTTGTTCGACTACCTCAATACAGTTAACATCTCGCGAGTCGATTATCACTCGATTTCTATTTGAATATTGTAAGGCAGTATTGGTGGCTTTTTCTTTCCTTTTTGTTTCGGATGAATCTGGACGATTAGACACAGTTGTTTGTGAAGAAATTTTGTACAGCAGAATACCAAATAACAATTTCTATCAAGCAAAATTATCTCCAAATGTATGAATGGTGTGGGAGGCATTGAGCAGGTCCTAGCTATGGATGATGAAGAAGAGATATCAGATGATGAGAATGGTGTTATGGATGATGACAAGAATGGTGGAGGGGTTATGGATGATGGTGATATTACAGATGAAGATGTAGAACATCCAAATGATCCGAATGCAAAACAATGGAATGGTTAATGAGATCAATGAAAATGATAATGATGCAGAGGGAGTAAATGATGGTGTGGTACATGTAAATATCAGAATGCAGATGATGAGGAAAATTGGAATAATGACGAGCAATTAGATGAAGATTAAGATGGTGCGGAAAATTGGAATAACGGTGAGCAGATAGGTAAAATGAAGATGATGAGGCTATTTTTGCTTAGTGAGTCAGTTCATGCATGATCCCCTAAATCCTCATATGCAAGCTGTCATTCATATTTTGCGGTTTCTGACTGCTCCAAGAAAGGGCCTACTTTTTTTCAAACATGGTCACCTCCATATAGAAGCCTTTACATATGCGGACTGGTTAGATCTCTAGATAATAGAAGATCTACATCTGGTTACTGTACACTCATGGGAAGTAACTTAGTTACTTGGAGAAGCAAAAACCGAAGTGTAGCTGCTAGATCCAATGCACAAACCAGAATATAAAGTTTGTGAACTTCTTTGGCTATAAAAGTTAAATGGAGAAATTGAGGTTGTTTGACCCAGGAAAACATTCTTTGTACTGCAACAAGAAGTCTGCAATCAGTATAACTTATAATCCTATTCAACATGATAAAATAAAATATGTTGAAATTGAACTACATTTTATCAAAGAAAATGTTGTTGGTATCTTGAGTTTGCTTCGTGTACCATCAGAAAAGCCGCTAGTGAATTTGCTTACAAAAAGTCTCAGCAAAAAGTCTTCTCCTTTTAGTTTGCAAGTTGGGCATGTGCTTTGCACCAACTTGAGCATTTAGTGTTAGACTAGTATAATTAGTGAAAAGTTTTCATTAGATTTGATTCTATTTCCTAGGAATATTTTATTCAGTAGCTTGATTATAGCAGTAATTGATTTCTTTTTATAAATGTCTGTGCTTTTAATGTAAATTGATATACAAAAAATACAATCGCTATTTCTTCTTCTTGAAATCATCAAGTGTAATATTCTTAAAAGACATAAAAATTTTAAGTTCTTAACATACGTTTTATAGTAACTAGCTTTAGTGTACGTGCGTTGCACGTTTTTATACGTCTATTAATAAAAAGTGTATAAAATTTACAATAAGAATGAATTATGTGTAATAACAATTAACATCGAGATAAATGTAATATTTATATAATTTAGAGTAAGGAAAAGGGGTATTACCACTTTTTGCCCCCGCCAGAAATTATTTACATTCGATAGCCGGAAAAGTGTATAAAATTAGTATAATTTTTGTATATAACATACAGAATGTGTATATATACAAAAAATATACAGTTTTCGGTTATTATTTTGAGAGCGTCATACAATGTCATTTTCCCTAAGGAAAATTTCTCTATTTTTTTTTATTAAGATACTAAAATTATACACAATTAAGATATTAGTTCATTGAAAATTTAGAAAATCAATTGAAATATCCAATATATAAAATATTAATGGTAGTTATCATTATATCTAACATGGAATGTATATTTCTGTTGATATATTTACTTCTCATAATTGTATAAATATTTACTACTAATAAATGTATTCTAATATAATTTAAATGATTAATTATATTTAAGCAAAAAGGAAAAAGTAGACAAACCTAACGTGTACTTTGTGCATATGGAGAAGTTTATCATAAATTGATATAATGCCATTATTCTTTTATCAATTGAAAAGATCATAAAATTTAGAAAATTTTAAGGACTTCTTACCTAATTCAAATAAGTTTTGATTTAGTAAAAAAATTGGCTTGATTTTAAGGTCCTAAATATTGGGAAAGCAATTTAAATTATAATTTTATCCAATGTAAAACTGATTTTTAAAGGGTAAAAAAGGCGAACGACATTTCTCTAAGGGCCTTCGTACTTTTAATATAGTATAGATAGATATTATTATTTATATGGTAAGATGTAATTCTAATAGAGTAAGGAAAAATAATGTTGAATAAGGTGTATTGGTAATGCAGGGATTAGTAATGCAAGGGTTATTAATGCAAACATTAGCTATGCAGAGGTTATTTCTTATTCATTGTTTGGTGTGGTGTATTAAAAATTAAAATCCATTGCATAATTTTTAAGAAAATTGTTTGTTTACAAAAGTGGGGCGATGTGCACAAATAGCCACTAACAGCACTTGTCTTTATTTTAAAGCCAGTGTTTTAAATGTCTTTAGTCTTTAGCCACTGGTATAATAAACTTATACCTGACTGGACAAAAATACCCTTATGTTATAACTTATACCTACGCTTTTATTAACGATCAGCAGCAGCAGCGCTAAATTACTTCACTGTGATCGTCGAAATTGCAGAAGATTCGCTTCCGATTTCAAACTATAGAATTCAACATTCTCATCCAAAAATCGACATACATTTACAATAAGTTATACTTTTATGTGTTTCTATTGATTTTTATTTCGACATAGTTATACTTTTTCCGATTTCTATTGATTTTTATACAGTAAGTAGAAATTTGATTTTTTTTTTTGAATTTCTGGATTGATAAAGTTAAGGACATCGCGTCCTGTGATAATTCTATAAAAATTAAGCACATAATATTAAGGACAATGTCCTGATTTTGCAAATTGAATTAGGGACACAATGTCCTTAACTTTGTTGTTGTTCTTCTGTATATTAAGCACATATCGTCATAGTTTTGCAAATTGTTTTGAAAAAGTTAAGGACACTTGGTCCTGAACTTTGAGTTTCAAGTTGAAAAGTTCAGGACACTTGGTCCTGAACTTTGACTTACATGTTCAATATTTAAGGACAGTTGGTCCTTAACTTACAGTTATTAGTTAAAAAGTTAAGGACAGGTAGTCCTTAACTTCAGATTTCAAGTTCAAAAGTTAAGGACACTTGGTCCTTAACTTTGGGTTTCAAGTTCAAAAGTTAAGGATAGGAGTCCTTAAGTTTGACTTGCAGGTTCAAAAGTTAAGGACAGGAAGTCCTTAAGTTTGAATTACAGATTAATTCTATAAAAATTGAGCACATAATATTAAGGACATAGTGTCCTGATTTTGCAAATTGAATTGAAAAGGTTAAGGACACAATGCCCTTAACTTTGTTGCTGTTATTTTGTATATTAAGTACATACTGTCATAGTTTTGCAAATTATTTTGAAAAAGTTAAGGACACTAGTTCCTAAAGTTTGAGTTTCAAGTTGAAAAGTTCAGGAGGTCCTGAACTTTGACTTACATGTTCAATATTTAAAGAGAGTTGGTCCTTAACTTACAGTTATAAGTTAAAAAGTTAAGGACAGGCAGTCCTTAATTTTGGGTTTCAAATCAAAAGTTAAGGACAGGAGTC